CTGCGGCCGGGCGAGCGCGCCGAGGCTGAGCCGGCAGGTAGCGGCTCCAGCGCCGGGACTGCGCCAGCCCTGCGAGCCAGGGCCGCCAGCGCCACCGTGCCGGCGTCGCGTCCTCGCCAGGGAGCCATGGTGCGCGGAGCGCGCACGCCGCGCGCGGGACTCTGAGCTTCGGCTTTGCCGCGCGCCCCCACCTCCCCTCCTACCTCCGGGCTTTCCCACCGACCTCTCCCGCGGGCCATGAAGCTTTGGCCCGCAGCCCCTCACCTCTGAGCCTCGCGTCGCCCGCTCCAGCCCCAGCGCCGCTCGGCCACAGATAGCACTCTGGCCCCTGAAGCTCCCCATCCTCTCCCAGGGAGGGCACCCAGGCGCTCCGGGATGGCGCTCCGCGGGTCCCTCCGGCCGCACAAAGTTCGCAGGAGGCGAGAGATGCTGCCGCAGCAAGTTGGCTTCGTGTGCGCGGTGCTGGCTGTGGTGTGCTGTGCGTCCGGCCTCTTCGGCGGCTTGGGTAGGTGCCGGAGTTAGGGGGCTTGGGCTGAGACGCCGCGGGGCAGCCTCGAGGTTTCCCCCCCCTTCCTTCCCCGTCAGGTTGGTCCTAAGGGTTCATTCAGTCCCCTCCCCACTGGGCAGGTAGAGCGCACCCAGGAGGGCTGATATCTATGCTCTGAGCTGTGGCGCCAGTTCCCCTGAGCTGCGCGCGGCCCCCGGGGGTTCAAGACGCGGCTGCGGGTCTGTGTTACTAAGACAAAAGGCTGAACCGCTGGCCCCTCGGTGCCAGTGTTCTGTCCCTGGCGTGCATGGGGAATGGGCAGCGCAGCGGCGGGCTCCAGGTGTGGTTCTCTTGGCCTGGGGTGGACGAAACGGAGTGGTCCGTATTCCTGTTCTGCGGAGTGGAGAGGGTTGTGCTCCGCGTCCCTCGAAAACCCAGATTCAGAGGCTGGGAAGCGGTTCCCCTCGCTCCTGCCCGGGCCCAAAGGGGCGCCCTGGGTGTTCTGACGTTTCCTCGCCAAACCCCAAAAGCACTGGGGCGGTCTCTCCCCTCGGGGGGTTGCTGCCATGTTTCAGCATCGCTTCTCTCAACTCTTAATCCCCACCGGAGGTGAGCGCTGGTGTCTGGAGCCGCGATCCACACTCCATCCAAGAAGAGATCCAGGGACTTGGGAGTCGCTTAGGATACGCAGATTTGAGGTGGAGAGGAGAAACTTACAGAGAATATCTGTTTGGGGGTGGAGCGGGGTCTGTGAGCCCATGTGGGACCTGCAGAAGACATTCACTTGGCTAACATTCACATTTTTAGTTGGATGCTGTGGACCTTTTAGTTTGTTTTTCACATTTTAAAACTGAAAGAAATGTTGGTGATTTAGCAACCTGGACATGGAGATAAAGCGCGTGGTACTTGCTTGAGCAGTTAGAAAGGGACCATTTAGAGAAGTTTACAGTGACTGGCGGAAATTAGGTTGAATGTGATTAAACTCTTATAAAAAAATACTGCCTTTCAAAGTCCAAACTTTGTGATTTGAAGATACAAGGTCTAAAAGTGGCTTTTTGCAACAGAAACCCAGAAAGGTTATTTGAACATCTTAATACCTGATGCTTTGTAATTGGGCAAGTCAGTGTGTTTTTTCCCTCTATTACACACCAGAAATGATGAAATACTTAGAGGCTCTTAGATGTCAGCATCATAGAAGAGGTGTTATTACCCCACTGAAGCAGTGTGCGCATCAGGAGAGGTAAATGAATACTTTAAAGGTCTTAAAGTTAGAATCATTTTTCTTTGCTGGATCAGGAAGCACCTTTAGGGGTTTAACTGCATCTGGTCACTGGCATCCACACCAGTGATCTCCCTTGTTACCCAGTGTGGCCCTTGGACCAGCAGGATCAGCAACACCAGGGAGCTTGTTAATACAGAGTCTCAGGTCCCAGCCCAGACCTACTGAATCAGAATGTGCATTTTAACAAGGTCCCCGGTGATTTGTGTGCACATTCAAGGGTGGGAAGCCCTGGACCAGATCCATCAACCTTCTCCCCCTGCTTGCTGACTTACTATCCATTTGTAGTTCCTCCAGGCCGGGGACACCTGAGCATGTTTACTGGCCCAGAATTTAATGGTCACCTATCTAAACCCTTTGTTGCACCTTTGAGGGGCAGAGACCAGAGCGATCTTGGCCAAGGTCAGATCACATGCTGACCGTGTGGGACTAGAAACAATGAACTAGATCTAGGAAGCAGATTACTGTATATAAGCAGGTGATACTGTGTTTCCAGTCATTGTATTACTCCCTACAGGTGGCTCTCAGTAGTCAAACAGGGCTGCTGCTAACACGGCTGGATACAGACAGGTAAGGTCATTGTGAGGATGCAGGCTCCACACTGACCTGATGGGTGTCTGTGATTTATTCTCCAATCCAGGGCACAGAACAGCTTCTGCTAGCAAACATGTTCTGCCAGACACGTGGAGAAACAGAAAGCTGATGGCACCAGTGAACGGGACTCAGACAGCGAAGAATTGCACAGATCCTGGTAAGAAATAGATTTTCCCCACCCTCCCCCCAGGCATTTGGCCTGGAGATGGTGCTTCTGTGGACAGTGACTGCCAGAGCTGAGAAAGGTGGTTTTATGAACCTGAGTGGGGAAGGGTGGCTGTAAACATTGAAAGGTCCTGTACAGATGTTAATTGTGCTGCTAAGCAACTCAAGTACTCTCTTTATCCAACAACTGAAAAGGTCACATTGAAGAGTTTTAAAATTTCGTTTTTGTTCTCACAATGCTCCTAGAGGCTCAGTGTTGCCCCTGCTCTCTTGATTTTGTTTGCCCAGGTGTCTTTGTTTTTTTCCCTTTTTGCTCACTGTGCCCATTCAGTGGAGCTTCTAGGGGCAGCAAATCCAGATGCTCTGGCAGATGGCACTTTGAGATGACCTACTGGGGTCAGACCATGCTGGGCAGCTGTAGGAGTAGGACACTCTGGAGTGCTGGGGCCCCTTCTCTGGAGTGGGAGTTCCTAGGTGTCGTTCCAGCCCCAGAGGTGGATCTCTTGCCCTGGGATGCAGTTTTGATGTTCCTCTTCAGACTTCTCTAGGGGGTCAGAGAATATAGGGACCCAGGCATGGCATCTTATCTGTTCTGCCATAGGCAGATTTTGCTTAAATGGGTGGAGAAGATTCTCGGGAGAGAGTACCCGCAAGCAGCGAGGTGACTGGATGCTGCCCAGGCCTCAGGTTTAGTTCTGGCTCCAACACTGGGCAGTCGGTGAGAAGGATCCAGTGGGACAATGTATTCAAGAGACTTTTGGGAACTATGAGGTCTTATAGTACTGTGGGTACCAGTTGGCTTTTCCACCAAGTTGCTAGGCAAGTCAATAATCGTTTTAGGTCTCTGTTTTCTCGCCTGTAAAATGGGCAGAATAGTACTTGCTGCTCCTAGGTTGTTGGAAGAATCTGGTAGAGCTCTGTGTGGGGCTGTGCATAAAAGGAAATGGAGACCCAGAGCAAAGGAAAGGTTTGCATGGTAGTCTTCATGTGTCTTATTCTCATAGGCAGGTCTTATCTGCGTTTGACAAGTGAGGAAATTTTGAGGGAGGAGGCACGAGTTGCTCAAAGTCATAAAGCTTGTAAGTGATGGAGCTGGCATTGGAACCTCCTGGGCCTGTGTGACTAAATGTTTGGTTGGTTCCCCACGTTTAAGAAGGCCAGGGCCTTCCCTCAAAGCCACCAACTTCCCTTCCCTCAGGATGCCTTCGGAGAAGTCTGTTTGGGACGTGGAGGGTGGATGAGCACAGGCTTGCAGAGAAACAACTGGGATTCCCTTTGAACTCCCATCTATCCCAGTGACCCAGCAGGCGGCAGTGTCTGTCCTGTCATTTAAACTCCCCCAGGACATCTTTCATCAGCCCGAAGTGCGTGTGCTAGACTGGCACGTGAACACGTGTACGGCTGGGGACTAATGTGGGGGCCCCTCTCCTCACACCAGGCACCTGAGATGCTAGAATTAGCACCATCCACGTGGGGAATACTTAGCTACTCTGGGTAAAGACAGGGTTAGTGCATTTTTGTCTGGTTTCCAGCTCACTGGCACTCTCATTTTGGGCTGGCTGTGCCCTCCTCCTCATCACGTATAGTCTGGGCACGTCAGCTTAGATAGGGCCCAGTTTCTTGGGATAGAGTTCTCTGCTTGTTGTTGCCCCCGTAACTTCAGTGTACTGCCTGATTAAAAACTATTCCACTAACTGTGGAGCAGTCAGTCCTGTTTGGCAGGAGGACCTGGCCTTGTCCCCCATATGGAGGGAAATTGGCAATGTCTTTAGCAATAATTAACATTTGCCGTTATGCTTTGTGTTGACTGTTTCCAAAACAGGGCCCTGCACGTAGAAAGGGCTCAGTAAATATTGGTCAAATGATGGAATGAAAGTACACTTTGAATATTAAGCACTTTAATCCTTACAGTGTTTTTGCAAAGTGGAAGGAATTCGAGTCTCAGAAGTTTAGTAACTTCCCAAGATCTCTTGGCTGGCAGGAGCATCCCTGGGTCACCTAGCTCCAGATCCCATGCCCACCCCCCTCCACTGCACCTGCCCCAGCTCTCCTCCCAGCTCAGGTGGGGCTGACGCCTCCTCCCCGGCCATGAGAATACCCAGCCCCCTTTCCATTTCACAAGTTGCTGTTGTGTGTCCGGCCCTGTGGTGGGCACTTGCTGGGGAATATAAGCAAGTATAAGAGGCAGCCATTGTCATCAAATGGCTCACAATCGAGTAGAGAAGACAGGATCCTGACACAAGCAAGACTTGGTGACAAGGATCACACAGGTCCCCCAGTCAGCAGCCCCATGGGAGCCACTTCAGGGGCTCAGAGGAGGGTGAGCAAGTCTGATGCAGTTCTGTGTAGTCTTAGCATCTAGATGAGGCAGTCCTCTGCTGCAAAGACAGAAAACCTCCTCACACTGGGTTTAGCAAAAGAAGGGAATTTATTGGCTCAGTCAAGCATGAGATCAAAGGTTAAGAAGTGTTGTGACTCAGTTTCTCTCTCTCTGGACTCAGCTGTCCTCCAGCGTGGGAAGGTGGTTACCAGCTCCAGCGCTGTGTCTTCCTAGACCCAGAAATGCTGGAAAGAGCCCCTGTGGCCGAGGTGCTTGTGTGGAAGCCCCCAGGTTCTGTTGGCTTGGGTCACTTGACCTCCTTAAGGAAGTCGCTCCAGCCAGGGGCCTGCGGGTCTAGACTGGCTTAGACATGGGTCACAGGCTCCATCGCTGGAGGGAGGGGCTGAGGCCGCCTCCAACACCAGAGCTCCGCCTGGAGTCGGCCGGCTTGGGCACTGGGGGAGCAGGCACTCGGCTCTTTCCGACTGTTCACCACAGGGTCCCATCCAGGAGCTGCTGCTGTGATAAAGGTGGACCCCAGCTCCCTCCCAGTTAGTTTGAGTTCCAGGAGGGTGACAGAGGGTGGTGTCCAATGGCTGCCCTCTTCTCTACACAGAGGAGTTGCCCATAAAGCACCCCGGGGGGGTTCTTGCATCCTCGGAGGCTTCTGCTCTGCGTCCATCTCCTAGAGGGCCCCCCAGCCTGATCTACCAGGTGAGGTCTTTTAGGGATGCGGGAAGATGGAGCTTAAAGACTTTCCTCCTGTGTCAGAGCACCCAGAGCTGAGCTGTCCACCCGCGGTGGGCATTCAACAGATGTTAGCTCACGTCTTCATAAGGACTTCTGGGGCAAGGGCTGTGTGTTATTGTCTGTCCCTTCCAAACGCTCCTCTTTGCCTACGAGAAGAGAGAGAACTTCATTTTCTAAAAACACTTATGGGACCCTGTTCTAGTCATCCTTTAAGACTCCGTGTCTGGGCACTTTGCTGTGTCTGGGGTCGTTTCCCCAGATCTTGGTGGTGTTTCCATCTCATTTGTGTTGAAGCTTCGATGTCCCCCCCAACCCCCCGTCATGTTACCCTGTCTTGTTTTTATGATATGTATCACCATCCAAAATAATTCACTTATTTGTCATCTTTCTCCCCTTGAGGGCTGCCTTGCTCACTGCTCTATGCTCAGAGAGAGATTCTTAATCCTGGCTGCACATTCAAATCACTGAAGAGCTTTTGAAATGCCCAGGGGCCACCCCTGGAGCATCTAATTTCACTGGTCTGGAGTGGGGCCCAGAAATCAGTACTTTTTTGTGTGTGTGCGCGGAACATCGGCCCTGAGCTAACATCTACCAATCCTCCTCTTTTTTTTTTTGTTGAGGAAGACTGGCCCTGGGCTAATATCCACACCCATCTCCCTCCACTTTATATGGGACGCTGCCAAAGCATGGCTTGACAAGCGGTGCGTCAGTGCGAACCCCGGGCCGCCACAGCGGGACGCACCCACTTAACTGCTTGCACCACCGGGCTGGCCCCAGTACTTTTTTTTTTTTAATTTTTTTTTTTT